GGGCGGAGGGGGCAGCCTCCCCCCCTCCCTGCGCCTAGCCCGCCGCCGCCAGCCCCGGGAAGGGTTGCTCCCCCAGGCTGCCGCGGAGCCCGGAGGACGGCGTAGCTGGGGCTCTCCCTCTTTCTCGCCTTCTGCCTTTCTCCCCCCACCTCCGCCCCCCAGCTCAGCCTCCTTCGCGTCCCCGCCGTACGTGCCCGGAGCTGCGAGTGCAACCCGCACACCGCAGTTAGACCCGCACAAAACTTCAGTCGGCCGTTTCTCTCCCCGGGAGACGGGTGAAATGTAACGTGGAAGGGTAATTTAAAAACCAGCATTTATTACTGTTATTATTGCTGTTGTTATGATTTTAAGTGCTTGCTCCTCACTCTTCTCGGGTTCGCTGCAAGTTGCATACGTTTTGGTGTTGCTCGTTTCCCGTCCCTCTGTCTCCCCCCGACCAGCGTTGCATGAATCCCTGCGTTCTGACTTTGTCTTTATAGCTTTCTGTGAAATCCCAATGCCTGCTCCACGAAGCAGACATTTTGGGAAGATTCTTTACGAGGAAGGACGATTTATTGTTATTACTATTACTTTGTTAAGGAAAGGGACCACAAAACTTAATCCTTTCCCCCCACCCCCCGGAAAGCAATCCACCTTTCATACCCTCTTTTTACACAGAAAGGTGCATGAGCTGAATGGATGCAGACTGAAATCTATCACTGCTTAAGTTTCCTGTGTCAGACATGACCCGACAGTACCGGGAACATATACAAAATTGTGCAATACTGACATCTAAGTATGTCATAATCCTCTCTCTCTTCCTCAGCAGTATCATTACACCAGGTTAATTACATTAGTCACCTCCTGGTTCTATACATGTAGCTGCTCATTAATGCAACAATCATAAAAGAAAGAAATAATCTAATTCTTGATGCTACCGATTTTGTTTCTCTCTGATCGGATTCATTGTTCAGTGAAAAAGAGACCAGAAGAGCTGCTTTAGGTTCACTGCTGTTCTGTGCGGGTGAGCGGGGCTGAGGAAAGGGGGTGCTGGGAAGTTGAACCAGTTGGAGGGCTTCAGCCACGTTGCAATTTCATAACTCCATTTATTTTGCCTCCTTTCTCCTTCTCTGGGTGCAGACTGGGACTGCCCTTTCAGGACAATCTCCCCCAGGACTGTTGGACATGAAGGGCTCTATAGCAAGCAGCAGGGGGGCCATTGGCTGCTCTACAGACCACTGATGGTTTCCCCAATTTGGAGGGCACAGACCAGGCTGCCCTTGCAGCTGAGACTGAGATAGGGGTGTTTACCAGCAAGCACTCATGGTGTCTGGCATCAGCCATATGCAGATCACCACCAGCAGGCGGGAAAGGCCCTGGGGGAGGCAGGAGATAGAGGGAGGGGTGGTAGGAGACAGTGCAGGTTGAGACCACTGACACAAGGTTGAAGAACAACCACAGTCCCTATCCTCACCTGGGGGACTCCTGGCCTTGCCCTCTGCCACAGGAGCTGGGGGTCTCTGTCTGCACTCACTGAGCTGCCAAAGAGCTGAGGATGGGCAAGGGGGCAGGTGGCCCCAATGCACCTTTAGCACTCTGGGTACAGCCTGCTGCAAGAGTGTGGAGGATGGTAGCTATGGACAGGCTCTCTGAACTGTTGTTCTTGGTTCAAAGGAGTTTGAGAGGCAGAAAGATGCAGAGAACACCCCTAAACTGGTGGGATATTATGGCTCTACAGGGATGGCCTGTGGTGAGGAGGAGGCTCTGTGAGGCTCTTAACTGGGGAAGCTAGAGAATATCACTCGAGGACCTCTCCTTCCCTTCTGAGACATTTTCACTGAAAGAAGGAAGGGGCCTTGAAGAGGGAAGGCAAAAGGGAGGAATAAGTAATTCTTGGGACTCTGAGCCATTTTCTTTTTCTGTTGGTGGTCGTACCCCTCCAACCTCACCCCATTATTCAAGTCTTCTCATTCTTCAAAGGAGGGTAGAAAAGCTGGGCCAGGAGCCTGAAAGACTCTGAAGAGGAAAAAACTTCAGCTGGTTATTCTGGCACCCAAATCCATCAGGCACCAACATTGCATGTGTGGATGAGAAAGACACTCTGGAAATCTGCGGAGCTCATAGCTCCAAGGAAAGCAGACTCCTCAGTTACTCTGTACTCTCAAAAAAGTGTGGCACAGCCCTTCTAGTAATGCCACACAAGCAACCTGGGTGGAGCGGAAGCAAAAAGGTCTCAGGCCCTTTGAAAGCTCACCCATGCTTACACAGCAGGGTCATTCAAAGAGGAGAGGGAGAGAAGGGACGATGCTATGTGTTTTCACTTGGGGCCCACCTGTGTAGCCCATGTGGCTAAGTGTTTATTTTACTGCTACGAACAGTAGTGCTGCTTTAGGTCAAGGGTATGCTGGGCTGCACAGACAGAGGTTATCTCCGGGTTGAGGATCTTGCTTCTGTTGGTACCTGAGTCTAAGTGAGGCTAGTAAGGTGAGCAAGCAGTCACTGCAGAGGTTGTGGATTTGGGCTTGCAGGGGACCTCAACACTGTGAGAAATTACAGATTTCATTGATAACAAGAAAAATATTGCTGAAAATGTCAGGTTTACTTATCTTTACATTTAACAAATCCAATCAGATACAGAGGATGAAGCAGCAGCTGGGCCAAAACAGAGACCCTCAAACCAATCCAGAACTGTTGCCTTTATTACATATTTCTACATCTTTGACAAGTTTGGTTTCAAGTGACTACAGCAACAGGAGAGGGGCCTGTTCTCCTCAAAGAAACTGCCAGTGTAAGAAGGCCAGGTTTGCAGGGTGGTGAGTTCTTTAATCTCTGGCTAAGAAGTGTGAGATCTATGAGGGCTCAGTACATCTCAGGATCAGGACTAAACACGGCTTCCTGCCTCACGCTTCCCAATTTCCAGAAATAATTCTCTGCCTGCTACCCTGCTTATATACTCTTAGACCATTCACAATAATCCCTCTACAGTTCTAAATGCCACAGGAGAAGAATGGAACACAGGCAATGCAAATGCCAGAATGTCCTGTGTGACTGCTTGTGCTGTGGCTAGATGCTGTGCTGAGATTTCATCTTTCCTACAAAGGATCATTAAAAATTATAATACAAAACAAGAATACAAAATAAAAACGCTGTGGCAGATTTTTACAACAGTCACATCTTACTGAATAGCGCAACACAGAATGACATCTATAAAAGAGTAAGGAGAGAGAAATTAATAGTCTGGAGGAAATAGAGAGATTTTAAATTACATTTTAAATTACTTGAAATGAGAAGCTGATGAGACAGGGAGCCGCAGGAAGTCTGCTTCCAATGGCAAACCAAGAGTGCTGCTATTTGTGGAGAGAAGGGGCAGTGCTGTAGGAAAAAAAGGGGCACAAGAAAGATGCAGGAAGGGAGATGAAGGGCACGGAGTCGGAAGCAACTCCATGGGATGGTAATGGAACTGAATAGAGTGTTTGTGCATTGAGTGCTGCAGTGGAGCTTTTCAGCACATAGGACAAAATCAGACAGCGATAGTATATGAAAACCGGTATCTAGGAATCTTCATCCTAGGGAGGCCAGCGCAGAAGGAGCTGCTGTAATGAGATGTAAAAGAGATGGAGTTGATGCAGCTGTATTCACAGGCGGAGCAGAGGTGTTAATAGACCGATGCACCAGCAGAGG